TACCTGTATCATGAATTATAATGCTTTATAGTTACCAAAACTTCACTGAATGCTGTGTACGGTTATGAATTACAAATATATTTTCTTCGATTTACCAAGCTGGTCATACGTTTAAAATCGTGATTCGGCCGTCAACACGCTTATTTTTTAATGATTCATAGTATTTTTTCAACATGGTAAATTATGTAAATTGTGTTGGAAATGTTTGTACTTGTAGTAATTACAACCTTCAAAGTATATTAATCTATATGGACATTGGACACTGGACAGTGATTATTTCCCATTCCCAAAGTCTGCGCTAATGTTTTGACATAAGTATATACACCTGCCTGACGATATTTTCTAATATTCCCCCATATAACAGAGAGATTTAATATAGTAAATTATGTAAATTGTATTAGAATTATATTTACCCATAATAATTAAAAATTGCAAAGTATAATCTGTATGGACAGTGAATTTTTACCATTCCCAAATGTCGAGCTAATCCTTTGATATAATATACTATATGTATCTACCTGACAGTGTTTTATAATATTGGCATGGGACTTATTAAGTCGTATGTTACTTTGTACACACAAATCTAGGTCATGCTTTAAATTTAAGATAGGTGCGCAGTGTACGTGCTTAAACCCTTTTGAACCATATTTTATGTACCCGTAGAGACATGTCAATGAACCATATAAAACAACTGCCGGAAACGTTATTCCAATCGACGAAAAACTTGGTGCTGTTGCATCTGTACGGCAACAAGATTGAAGTATTTCCGAAGTCGATATTCAAAGACCTCAGCCTACTGGAAGACCTCGACTTGTCGGCGAACTCGTTGTTGGAGATATCGTCCGACATATTCCGTGGCGTGTCGTCGCTCAAGAGGTTGAAATTGCAAGAAAATCAACTGCAACAGCTGCCGTTGGGTAAATGCGAAATCTATTGCAAGGTTAGGCGAGCAAATGGCATAATGTGAAATCCCGATGGCGTTGTTACGCGGCTGTTTTTAGGGGTGTTTGACGACGTCGAGTACTTGGAAGTGTTGTCGTTGAGGAACAACCGCATATCGTTTATTCGTCCCGGGCTGTTCAACAACATGCGTAGATTGGTGTATCTGGACCTGACCGAAAACTGGATAAATTTAGTGAGCGAAAGTGATATTATAATAATATTATTATCGTTACCATTTATTAATATTGTAATTCTCATGACAGAAACAACAATATTATCATACCCATGACTTTCCGTTTCTGTTTGTGGCATTATATTATTAAATTGTTTACGCAAAACATATTGTATAGCTTAACGGCAACGAGTTCACTGACTTGGTAGCCTTGAACGAACTACATCTCGGTCAAAATTACTTGGAATTCATACCGGAACGGACGTTCAAGAATTTGGCGTCTCTCGAAAAACTTTACCTCTTCTCGAACAACATCCAACAGTTGGACGTCAGCAGCTTTTACGGTTTGAAAAATCTCTCGTCGCTGTTTCTCAACAACAACGTGCTAAAGGTTATCGGTGACAAACTTTTTGAACCGTTGATGAATCTCAGAAAGTTGTAAGTTTTTCGTGTTTGCATTGCATAACTGTAAAATCATACAACAATAATACTATGTTTGTAATAACATAATACCTATAACAAGTATGTATTATGTTTCTGTTATAATATCAATCGTCCGGTTTATCTATAATATTAAAATATAATTTAGGTAGATAATCGTCATAGTGTTATTACACAATATCCAAACCCCGGTGGACTATTGCGTAGTCACCTAAGCCCGGTTAGCTTCTGAAACATTAAGTTCCCTATATTTATAAACGGTTGGAAAAAGTAAAACTAAATTAAATAAACAATTAATTTGCACTATCCTTAATTTATATCATCATATTATTTAACAAGTTTAATATAATTTAACTTATAATGCATATAACAATTACTGATTTTTTTTTTTTAATGTTTACAAATACAATTAAATCATAAAATAATTGTTAATTATCTAAACGTTTCAGCATCAAGTGGTATATATAGTTTAAATTTGTATTTAGTTATATGTCTTACGAAAATAGAGGAGAAAATATTATATAATATATAATATTGTTATTAGAATACTAATTATGACTACGCTTAAAAATAATAAGCAAATATCTCACAAAATACATTATGGTAAAATAACCATTTTACTTCAAACAATTTTAGTTATTTTGTTATGATTCAAAAAATATTAATCAAAAGGACTTTAAATATTTCTCATGACATTGTTAAAATGTTCAAATATTTAGACTGTATTTAAACTATTTATACCACGAAATTATTCTTTGGAATTTCGCTATTGTCTCATACAAATTATAAGTACATATTATTATAAGCTTTATATGCTATGTTTTTATCAACGATTAGCTCAACCTACCGAATTGAAAAAATAATAATAATTAATAATACAAAATATATTATAGTAGAACATAAACTATCTTTGGTAATATATATATATATATTTTTTTTTTTTTTAATTGATCTTTAAAGCCCGGCGACTATGGCCATTAGCTGATTGTAGGGGTTTTTATGATTGTAGGTTGTAGGGTTTGCAATTGTAGGGTTGTTACACGTGTGTGAGTAATATATATTATATATCAAATACACATATTATGCTAATCCACCTGCTTCCTTCGCTTAGAATCGTTTTTCGTGTACAATGATTGATTATCATTGATTTAAATACTATCTAACACGTTATCCATTACAGTGATTTACTGTATGACGAGTTACACTCGAATCCACTATACAGCAGATGCGAATAACTCCCCTTTTAACATATTATAATAATTGTATATAATATTATTACCGTATAATAAACTGAGAGTCTATACAATTAACATTTTTAAAATTAAGTAAACACACGTGCGTCGTATTAATTGATCGATTAATCATCGTTTGCTACTAGATAACTGAGTTTTTAATAACAATAAAAAGTAAAAAGTGATTCCATGTCCTTGGAATGTGATAATAATTAATGAAAGGCATATCGGTAGCTTTTGAGTGGAATTTTAGACATATTTCACGTTATCTCAAGTCGATATGGCACTATACTCGACATTGTTCAGAAAAACCATTTATTATTTTCAAAACTTTTTATACAATTCAAAATATAAATAAATGTATATTATGTCTACTGATACAATTATACTAAACGAATAAATAAATTACTATATAAACACCCAGTTGTAATTTCTTATAGACCACATAACACGTATGTCGTTTAGTAGGAGAAATAACTGAAAAAAAGTAAAATGACAATGTTTTTATTTTCAGACACATCGACAGCAATAAATTCCAATTCCTACCAAACGACTGTTTTGATCACCTACCAAAGTTGGAATCTCTGAAACTCTCAAAGAACCCGTGGCATTGCGATTGCACAATATTATACTTGGCTAGGTAATTATGTCAACAATTTGGATAGGTTTTATTTGATTGTTTATCGTTTTGGTTAGTTAAGCACCCCAGAATTACTCATAAAATAGCCACATCGGATTGATGTAGTTGTACCTAGTACCTACCCAGTACGAACGCATTAATTGATTAATTTGATATCCATAATTGGTTTCCATAATTTCTTAATGCACAAAGCAGAAACTTTTAAATAATTATAGTATGATTCAATACAACAGTTATTCGACGCACAAGGTTTGATTATAATTTATAGTTGCTAACTAAAAAATGAAAAAAATCTCTACAAGCCGCGCTACAGCCGTTCCAGATTACACGAAAGAAATTTTAAAAATAGAAAACAATAATCTGAGTTCACCATATTTTATCGAATTGATAAAATAATTTTACTGTCAAACGTAGAGTGGGTACCTCTGGTACCTATATATTTTTAACAGTATGACGAACCAGCAGCTGTTTGGTGTTCAATTTTTTTAAGATTACAATGCGTATGATATATAATGTATATATATATCAATGTTACCAATACGCGTAATGTGTACGACATAATAATATTTTTAATACGTTGTTCGTCATAGGTAGGTCGTAGGCATACGTATAATATAAAACCATAAAACGATTTAGTGTTTTTTTAGTCTTAGCCGCAGCTTGGTGTTATAATATACACCTAGCTGGGCCCGTTAAAATATATATATATAATATATATACATATTATATTATTATGTATTACATTTTAAATCGTCGAATTTTGTGCAATGGTATAGTGAATTTAAAAAATAATAATTTTATAATAATATTACAACGATGGAACTCAATATTATGTTTTATTCAAAATGCGTTTATTTTTGTTTGTTGTTGCATTCTTCGACGTATCTTTCTGCAGATGGCTGCGGGCGAACCGGCAAAAAGTGTGGGACTCGAACCCGACTTGTCGTGGTCCCAGGGACCTGGGTGGCAAGCCCGTCGAAGACATGACTTTTGAGGACTTATGCGATGGCCAATGGGCGAGCATGGTGAAGCTCACACCTCGCGTACCCATTCGATGAACTGCGGAAAATAATATCGTAATCAGCAATCACGCATTGATATCATTATTGTTATATATATATATTAATATTATACTGTACTTAGTCGGCAACCACGATTGATTTTAATGGCTTTTTCTTGACAATCCACGTTCGAGTATATTATATTATTGTATATTATTATATTGTTTGCGGCGGTGTGCGTGTGCGGACGCGTATTGTTTCTTTTGTTTTTAATTGATCGTACGGTTTAATTGCGCGCAGATAAGAAGTCGGCTGTTATCTGGGACAGGCACTGTGTAATAATTTTAACATTTATTATTATTATTATTATTATTTTTTCCTTAATGTGCCACTCGAGAGTAATAATACCGTGTACAAGTGTACAAACGTTAGTGTGTATGTGTGTGCAGTCATTTATAGATAAGAACAGTAAACAATTTTTGATCTTCGTCAAACATTTTTTTATTTTTCGTACTGCAGTCAGCAATAAGCGTTCTATACGATCAGTTCGAATCACAATAAATGTAATAATTATGGTCGGCACTCGTTCATCGTTGTTTTATCTACTCTGTTCGATCCTGATTCTTCCCCCCAGTGGTAAATTTAATATTATTTATTTTACATAGTGCTTAAATTATGATAGATATAGGTGCGCCGCAACTGTGTTGAAGTTCTATGTAAAAAATATTTTATTTGATACACTATACATTATACATGCATATTATAATATATAAATCCGCGTACATTTTAACTTTGTGACGCTGCTTACTTTAAAATAATATTATGTTAAGTGAAATATATAAAACATGCATGTGTTGTCGCATAGTTTGTTTTTCATATTTGCGACTTGATTTTGGTTTTAGATTCAAACGAGTTAACAGATTTTGGACATCAACAACTGAAAAATGTCGTAAGTAATCCAAACAGTGCAACAAGCATAACATAATCATATTAAACTATATTCGAAGACGAACGCAAAGGTAGCTAAACCTAAACCTACGCAAACCGCCTAAACAACATGTTATTACTATCTCGATGCTAATGTAAAAAAGTTGAATTTGAGTTATTCAGATTTTGGAAAGTTGACATTTTATCAAAATAACATGCACGTGATTGCATTTAAGTGATATATTATGCTTTTATTCGCTCTACATATTGTACTGCATAATATTCCCAAAGAATGTCAAATATGTATAACGCATTATATTATAATTATTCCAACATATTTGATGTACCAGCACATTGACCGTAAATAAGGATGAACGACACTTGTTGGAACTCCGGAGACGTATTATCAAACAATTTCTCTAATATTGTAAATTGCGAAAAAAAAATGTTCCCGTACCTACAAATACTATAATTATTTGGTATTTAAAATAAATAATCAATTATAAGACGCGTTTTATTATATTATAAAAAACTGAAAACATGTAAAAACACACATTCAATACTTATTAGTTCGATATTAGTAAACACGGTACTTACATAAGTTTAAAAATTAAAAATGTTAAAAAAAAACATGATTCCTGTAGGTACTTTCTTTTAGGATTTTTAAAATAACAATATTTCTTTTAGGATTTCTAAAATAACAACATAATTTATATTATACTGCACCTAGGTATATTGTTATTCGTATAACATATTATAATGTTTTCCGTGGATATGTTTGAAAAGGTACCAACAGCTGAAATACCTAACTGAGATTGTCAAAATTGAAAATTTTAATAATTAATTAAACTCCAGGGTGGGGAATAAAAAATGTAATTAACTTAATAATATTCTCCTTACAATGGTTTTTAAATCAAACTGCAGCACCACCACAATAGGTACTTATAATTAATTAATTATATATTATTATACTATAGTGTGAGACTGTTAGTGCCATATTATAACAAATGCATAGGTTCTATACCTGCAGCGAACATACAATACACCGCACTGGTAAATAACCGTAAATTTCTGTGGTAAACCATAAATGATTAATGCTCGTTTATATACGAAAACACACGAGTATTCACAGTAGGTACTAATGCACTATTATATTGACAAACAAAACGTTGTGTCGATGTCATAATATACAATAGTAACATGATAATACTATGGCTGAAACGTATATGCTATAATATATACAATCAAATAGGTATAAGATAGCCCCGTAACGTCATCGTTTTCGATACGTACTATACGTATATAATATATATGCATAAGGTATCTATGTATATTGTATATAGTTATTTTATTTTAATAACCATTAACCACCGAAAAAAAGTTTTAGAAGAACTGAAAACATCGTATGAGCCATGAGGTAGGTACATATATAATAATTTTTATACCCAGTTGCGTGACGTAAAAGGATTTATTTTTCATAAATCATACCTATTATACCCAATAGTGATGATAGTTAACATTTATCGTGCATCAAAAATATCGTTACTTTTGTACGTCGTACGTGTATTGTAAGTAAGTATACCGATGCACTGTTGTTGTGCGTCTTGGTGTACCTATTACACATTGCACGCAATATTACACACTTGACCATTTGATCCGTATTGAATACTAATTGGATTACAATATTTAATTTCATCATAATTATCAAGTTCAATTAAGTGTAAGACATAATAATTTTCTTTGGACCAATTAAATAGGTTAGTTGGACGTAAATTGAATAATTAAATATCGTTTAACCGTGGCAAGGCTAATCTCACACGCGTTTGTCCGATTAAAATAGTATAGATATCTACTATTTATATCTGTTTTTTTTTCTACACTAGATATTATTAAAAACTACAATGTGATAATAATCTCATATTTTTGTAAGAAGCCACTCATAATGTGATCAATGATCAACATATTTGTGCTCATAATAAATTATCGAATCATATTATTACATAGTAATGCGTAATATTGACAAAACCTGCATAATATATTGGTTGGTTATTATCGTTGTTAATTGTTTTTGTACTTTTCTCTGAGCATAATACATTAAAAATTGTTTATTATCATAATTAATAATATGTATACTGAATAGTGCAGTGTCCAACAATCGAAAAAAATTGTATTATTACATAATCATATTAATCATTATCAAATAAAAAATAAAAATAAATGTATTTTCGTATAATATTATGTACCTACTATGTACACCAAAAGTTATAACAACATTATTTGTTGTTTGATTGTTAAAAAGTATCTCAAATATCTGTAATCTTCATTAAAAACGTTACATTTTCTAAAATAAATTGAGTATCCTAGTTAATATAGCTGAAATATAATAATTAAATCATCTATTATACAACAATACTGTGTAGACGATAAATCACCCTGCCGATTATGTTTCAGAGCTAACATCAGATATTAGATTAGATATTATTATAATAATGAGATCAATAATAATTAAGTTTCATAAAATCATAAATATGACCGGTTGCCGTTTTAATCACATTAAAAATAAATGATGATTTATATTTTACATAATATTGATGGCAGTAATAATTAATAGTTACGATGGAAAACAAGAAATATTTGTTACATTCTATTCAGGTGATGTCATAAAAACCAATTAGTGTATAAACTAGCATTATAAGTACCTAATATATTAAACAAATTTACCAACCGTCTTTGACTCAGTTACAATGACGTTTTTCAAACCACAAATGGTTATATCTATACACTAGATATTAAGCAAAAACTTGAAAAAAGTTGTAGTTGTTTGAAAGTTTGAGATGGAAATTTAATTAGGCCAGGTGTTTTTCTAAAAAAAAATGAAAATGTTATAATTATTATTTAAAAAAAGATCTATGCTGATAGTGTTATGGTTTATTTTCAAATATTGTACCTGTACGAAACAAGAATTTAATTCATACTGACAATAATACTATTCACAACTCTTTTAATGGGCATTAATAATAGTTCATAAATTACATATTAACTAATTTTTTGAATAATACTAACAATTAAGACTATATTCGTTTTTATAATTTAATGAAACCACTCAAAAAAATGAATTAATATTCCAATTCAATAATAACGTAGGTGTACCAATACGCCATTTACGTCACAGATGCGTTATATTGATAATGATTGTTCTGTTTGAAAAATATTTTTTAACAAATATTTTGAATTATATAATATATAATTAACTGACGTAATATTATGGTATTCTATCATGTTATAATTTTTCATTTTGTCGGAATCCCGATTTACTCGAGTTAATTTAAAAAATAATAATATATTGATATTTTAAACAACATTATAATATTTTATAACTAGTTTGATTATAAAATTGTTTTGAAAAACGAAAACCGCCAATTTCATTTAAACGTGCATTTTAGGTAACATACGAAATTTGAGTCTTAACCAAAACACCTATGTAATATTAAGTCACTATATCTATACACACATATATAATATGATTAAAAGAAAGTTCTCTATGTTTATCCGTAACTATTGATTTATTTAATTAAAATACTTAATTTACATGTGGTGTGCATTTGTACATTTGTTTAATACTGTAGACAGTTTTCCAATCAAAAATACCCTATTATTTGACGTACCTGAATCCTACCACAGGTAAAAATTTGCGATGAAGACGTATTATAACTGATAAGCCCGTGACGTATGTAATAAGCCCATGACGATATTTGTTCGGTTACTATACCTCGAGACATTTAAAAATGTATATTGCAATTATTCACCATCAGAGTTTAGGCAATACAACAACCTGGTTATACTTAGGTATATCGTATGTATAATATGTGTGCAAAAAATTTCTTTCGAATTTGGAACATAATATAATAACATATATTATTATGGAATTGGATTAAATGTTATGCAATTACGTTAGAGCAACCGTACTCGCTAGACATACGTCTACGAAGATTAAATTACACTTAGTCTGGATTAAAATAAAATTGTACCTATATAATTATAATATCATACTACAAATTACAATATAGCAATAATACCGATATTGGGGATTTATGAGACTTTTGTTTACTTTAATGGAATTACGTTTTATGCATTTATAAATTATACTTCGTTATAACTTGTAATTCATCATAATCAAACGTAAAAGCTTGGGTGTACACTTAGAGTTATAGCTATTGACTATTGTAATGGATATAATAAAACATAATATTTATTATGGATTAGAATCGAGTTTCAATAATTGGTACAATTTTCAATAATATTAAACTCTTATTATTATTCACATTTAATAAATTAAGTTTAGACATCTATATATAGTTAATATAATATAAAAATTTATATAATTGCATATAAGTAACTACATAATAATACACATAACTTAAATTAATGATTTTTGATTGATTTTTTCATACATATAGGTAGGTAGCTGCTTCTTCTGCTTTATAATTCACAAGAGTAATTACTTGTGTTTAAAAATCTAAGACAAGAGATTATTATTAAAAATGCCTTATCAGTGCATATTGTAAAAACACTTATAAATATACAAATAGGTAGGTACCTGAAACAAACATTAAATAAAAAAAATTATATATATTCCAATATAATAGTGAAATATAAAAAAATCACCCTGTATTATTTTCAGTTTTTAAGTGTTGTATATTTAGATATTAGTAATAACCCACGATGTACGAGTTGAAAATTATCTTAATAAAATTAATACTTTTGTTATTGAGATAGTAAAATATTATATTTTCAAACGACATTTGTGGTTGTCAATTTAAGATAAAATATCATCAAGCATGAAAATAATGTATTAATATTTATTTAACATTTTAGAAAATATCAGTGACCACTCGAGAACGCTGTCTAATCAAAAATAAATTAACTAAGAATCAATTTCAAGTCTAAATCATAAGGACAAAAAATAAAAATAAATTAATAACATCGTAGTACCATGAACTTGAGTAGTTATCTATTAAAATAATGACTAAGCTAATATATTTTACTGAATTAAAATGTAGTGAAACCATCCAATTTTATAGCAATCGATTTTCGTCTCATATTTAATGTAGGTACCATAATATGTAGAATAGGGTTTTGTATATTAAGTTATATTAAGTCAACTTAAGATTTGTAACATTCTTAAAAGAATATAGTATCTTAGTACGAATAATAGTCACGTGAACTTATGTTGAATACATATTTTATGCTTAATAAAATACCTACGTGTTCAGGGTCATTAAATTCATCGCATTCAAAGATAATTAGAAAATCTGCAGAAGCACATATTATCAACACATTTGTTTTTATTCGCAACGAATGATATTTAAAAATATTGAGTACCTATATATATATATCTATAACTATGCCTATATCTAACAATTAATATTTTTGTTTAGCACGAACTCGGATCGGTTGTTGTGAATAATGTGCAGGGTAAAGGCGAGGATGAGGAAGAATATCCTTTTCAAAAAGCATACTATTCGTATAAAGTGCAATCTAATGAGGTAAAAAACAAAAGTAATATTATAAACAAACATAATATAAAATAAAAGATGCGTAGAGTAGGTACGGGGTGACGTACAAGACGATTTCCAGTTTTCCTGTGTCGGTTAAACGAGAAAACGGTTGGCCACCTTGTCTACTATACCTATCGCTTTGAAAATGGAAACATTAATAATTAATAAATGTTAATCTTTCAGTTGTTAAAAGATGTACTCTTAGACCCGCCAATCGACTACGTAACGCCAAAAGGATACAGCTTGGTGTTGGAACCAATTGTTCACTTTTGCCAAAATGTGGACAAAAGTATTATCAAGAAATTTTCTGCATTCGGATCAGAAGAGAAGGTGTACATCAACGTCGATGTCGATTTGAGAGACCAAATGACCAATGACTCGACGATTGTGTACAAACTTAAGGTAGATTATTAAATAATAAATATGTTACTAAAACGCGTAACCTGGGCTAAATGAATATTTAAAAAAAAAAAAAACAACGAATATATTATTATTTATTATTATACTTAAAATAATCCCATGCGTGGTTAAATATTTATGTTAGTGAACTCATAGAACAATAATTTTCGGAGAAATGTCTTTACGAATATTCCATTATAATAATAAAACAATATTTAATTTGACATGCGTAAAATGTTATATTATACATATCTTTAACAAACTATACTTATTACTTAATAGTGAAATTGGGGTTAAGAGAAAACGATTTAACACATTTTTAGTCAAAACCAATCACAGATATTATACCTACAAATCAATACATGTTATGAGTTTTCATGATGGGCATAAAATCATTAACCATTCTTATATTTTGTGAGAACATTCCTAACAGGGAAATTAAAGGGTTCCAAAAATATTAATGACACTTAAGTAACATTATAGTATGTCCATTGTCCATTGAGTTTTTTTTTAATATAATATTTATTCAAAGCTTATAGTATTGTTATTTAATTTGATTTAATTTAACAATTAATAAAATATTTAAATTCTAGGCGATTAAAAATGATAATGACTTGACTACGATCGGTGGTTCTACAACTGTACTCATCAGAATTTTTCAATTTCTACCCACGCCAGGTACAAAATATTTTGATTTTTATATAAAGTTTTCAAAACAGGTATTTTATGTAATTTTAAATCTGTTGCTATAGACACCGTTCTTGCGTTTGAAGAACCAATTTATTCCTTAAAGCTGTCTTATGGCCACATAGGCAAAGTATTCAAATTTAAGACCATACAAACCACACACAAAGCAAAAGAAAAAAATTCGAATAATTTGGATGGTTTGGAATTTGAAAAACAACCGGAAAACGATAAATATTTTTCAAAAAACGAATACTCTTTCAAGGGAAATTACACTTTGGAATACGTGCCTGGTATCATATAAATTGTTACAATATTAATAACACTAGTTACGACAGTTACGTTGTATACGCTTATCATTTACAAAAGTGCACACTCGTAGGTAGGTACTTAATATTATATTACATTTAATTTAGAACAACTTCTAACGAAATTGAGGGTTACTGATGACGGTGAATTGGAGGTCATGGGAAATATCGACGAAGGGTACTACAGTTTCGACATTGTAGCAGTCGACTATGGTCCTAATTCTACGACTGTTTTAAAAGACAGGTCAAAAGTAATATACACATTATATTAATATTATAACAATTATGTCTTTAAATATTTTTTATACATTTTAACCAAGGATTATACAAAAAAATATTTTAATTTGTTAACTATTATGAATTGTTATGTTTACTTTACAGGTGTACATGTTTATCGACAATGTAGCGGCGTGTAATTCGTACACGTCTAAATTCATCAGAGCATTCAGTAAACACTATATAACCGAAGAGACTAACCTAATAACTGCTGTTCCGGGCACCGAATCGAGCGGTCAATGTAGATTTTCGATATCACATCAATATCCATTTGGTGGTAAGTACATAATAGTACTATGTTGTTAATTTCTTATTCAGCCTGCAGAAACTATCACGATAAAATTCATTATAGGTAGTAATAGTAATAGTAGATATCATTATAGGTACACCTATACTACACACAACACCTATTGGACTTTTATTGAACCGTTCAATAAATGCAGGGTGAAATCTTAATTTTGCAAACTACAATATTTTTATGATATAATATGTAATGCAACTCAACTTATAATTCTGATTCCTTTAGTTTAGAGCGGTAATAATAAACCACAACTCAGCCAAAATAAAGTCCAAACAAAAATTGGCCGGAAAATCTAGATTTATATCATATATAACGAATTACCTACCTGGTCAATGTTTTATGTATATACCGTCACTTTCATATTATATTTTAGAACACCGCTCATAGAAACGATCTTGCATACAAGCACTAAAATAATGCTCCAGCAACGTCATTATAGATAATTATTTAGGTATAATTCCGTAGTGTTATAATCGTATTATAGGTACTAAATACTTACATTTAAATATTTCATTCATAATAATATACAAGTTAAAATTATCGACACTACGAGGAAATACGTAGCTGAAGTCGATTTATATAGACTATTAGTTGTGACTTAAGATCAGTAAATATTCTACAGTTGTAGTAAGTAGTAAATTGATATCAGCCATCGACATTCCTGATGTCCCTCCTTTAAATAATATTATATTGATTAACAGATAAAGTAGGTATGATTTATTTTTAAACATGGTGGTTCTCAATAAAAGCAAAGTTTTTATTTTGACATACAATATAGGTGCTGCTATATAGCGGGACTGATCGTAAATTGCAAAATTAATATTATTATCCATTAAACATGCCCGATTACGATCGAATATTATAATATCATGTCGATTATTATCGATAATATGTACGAGCTAGTATAACATAAAATTACAGACATACGATATTCTAATTATTTTTCTACTCGCGTATCAAATATTGAAACATAATAATTAAAAAGCAATACATACATAATTCTGTAGTAGGTATTGCAACATCGCCACATGTCGACTTGCGCATGAACGCGTCTAATATTATATTATATTGTACACGGCGTAAGTGCGCCAACGGCTGTGTAGAAGCAACTTACTGCAAACAATAGTTGGTATTCTGCTATTGTAATAAATTGTCAGGCGTAGTGTTGACGCGATGGGATATGCGTGAAAGAGTCCAAGTATTATATAGGTATTTTCCAGTGCAAATGACAGAAAATTAACTCGAGGTACGAGCAAAAAAAAAAAATTGACTATTCACAAAAAAATTTGTAATTTTTACCTTTACGATATTATATTAGAGTGACATTACAATTTACAATTTTGCAAAATGACGTCAAGAAATGTATTATACATTTATTTTTCAGAAAACAATTAGACGATTAAATTTTATTTTATACCGTTGCACGATGAATATTAAATTAACAAATACGAGTGTTCCAACAGTTTGGCGTGTAACTGTGATAATATTATAATATAATAATATACACTTTCCAAATATATATCGTATAAATATAAGACACACACAACAATGCAATTTAGGCTTAAGAGATTTGCAGATCTAATGTTTTTTTTGTAATTCTCCAGAAAATTATGAGATTTACATCCAGGATTTTCATGGAATTGGTTTTAATTATTATTTTGTTGTTCATTTAGAGTACCTACCTAACTGTTGCAACGTTTTATACTTTTATTCAAAAATGTAAAAGTTGAATTTAGTAATCAAGTGGGGATATGTAAGTTTTAAAGTTTAAGATGGTGTCGTGGTGAGTTTAGTCGTGTAGAGGAGTCGTATATTATGATACAGGAACCTGGAAATATCTTAGGATAATAACAATTATTTTTTTGTAAAACGTTTAGAATACTTCACCAATATTATATTTTCCGTGATTATCAGTAGCTAGGTACCTACCTACATATATATTGTTAAAATTAAAAAATAATTTCATTTAGCTAATGTATCGCATGGTTAGAGCGGTAAATTAATAATCATCGCTTACACGCGAGGAGTGGAACTGACTCGGAATAAAACATAATGTCCTGAAGTGTTCTGAAAACATTTAATCGTGATGGGAATAATGTGCAGTAGACTTCTTAGCTTTTATAGATTTTCGTTAAGGCGAAATGTTTGAAAACTACAAATATTATATCTCTATTTTCTCAATTAATCCGTAACTCAAACTTTGGAATTCAAACCCGTTATCGTTCGTTAATTTTTGTCGATATGTGCCCACACACAATCTGTAGATAAAATAAGAATATTTTTTTACGTGGCAGGTTATAAGCGGTGATAGGTACACGATTTCACCCGTCTTACCTTTTTACATACAAGTGACGCAACACAATTGAGCTCCATGAAATTTGAGTCTTGCCCTTCTAACCATTTTCCAATACACTATTTAAATGTAACAGTCCGACTTAGTCGAAGTTTAAGTTATGTCTTTATTTTATACATGTTGGAAAAATACTTTTATGAAGAAAAAAAGTATGTTTATAATGCCATGTATACTAATACAGTCGAATTTGGTTAACTCGGACTTTTAAAACTTAAATTAACACTTTAACTTCAAGTTGAAAATGGTTAGAAGGGTTGCGTCTTTTACATGTAATACGTATTGCAATCTTGCTAATTTATATAACGCAATCGTGTTGCGTTTTTTGCATATAAAATGGTAAGACGAGCGTTACACCCGTTATAGGTAGGTAAGTAACAGTAGGTACTATTACAGAGTATAGACGTACTCGTAACGATCTCGCATATTGCGCGAGTCCCAAATCCCCCCCCCCCCCAACGCCTATAATGAGTATAATTATTATTGTAATATAATTAGTACGTTACTGCGAAAACGCTACCATAAACACTGCCATATTAAATCATTGACCGTCAGAGCAATAATATTATTTTTATAAAAACTATACAATCAGACACGTTGGCCGGTTTTTCGTGATGTGAAACCACGCGGAGTCTGTACAATATAACCTAAGAATATTTCTGTACACGGGTGGGTTATGAGTAAGTACATCAGCTCAATACCTACGGACGCACTCGTAAGGATCTCGCAGATCGACCATCCCTTAGGGTCTTCTCATATATCGTTTGTCCGAAAAAAAAACGTTATTAAACTTACTAACACTACCTACATAACGATAATATCATACTTTCAATATCAGATAATTCCACGTGTACATAATACTATTTTAATGGTATTATATTACTATTATTAATATTTTACCGCTAGAACGCCACCAAAAACAGAGAACGATGAAATCTTTAACTGTCAAGAGCTCTAATATTATTACTATTAGGTTAGATTTCGTTAGCCGATATTTCGTGTGTTGTATACGCCTTATGTCCAAGCTCGTATTAATGAAAGTTTCGAATACCAATACTGAGCTAAGTATTATATTAATATATATTACATAATAGGTAATATTGTTATATAATTAAAGAAATCATAAATAATACTAATAGTTAATATAAAATAGTATAGTAGGTAGTGTTAATTTTTATTTTTTATTAGAGATTCGAAACAATTTAAATTTGTTCGTACCTATTACTAAGTACCAATTGATTTATAACCTATAAATATTGCGAGCAATAAAGTAAAATATATATCAGAAATGAAGTGCAAAACAATAAATTATTGTTGTTATAACACGTGATATGATGCATATTATAATACTTAATATATCAAGTAGGTATATTTGGAATAATTATTGTAATTTGATAAAAACCAATATAGTTGTTGTTTATCGCTGAATTAAAAACAAATAAAATCTTCATTAATTAATTAACATAGCCATAGGTACCTGCAATACTGAAAAAAGTAAAATATTCTTGAAATAAAATGCATGTATGATGTATCATAAATCTCATATTGTGACTATTAATAGTATACCTTATATAACCACTGTATGTATTTTTTTTATCTAGTTATAGGCGACGAACGCATAAATATCAACTGGTATTGTTGATGATTGCAATTGTTTGTTTTTTTTTTTTTTAAAGATTAAAGTATTTATTGTTTGAACTTATTTAAAAATAAACATCAAGACAATTGTAATTATATTTAATCGATTTTTTTAAGAAATTAGTTTTTATAACTCAGTAGGAACAAATCAAATATAGGTAAATACAACAAATGTTCAAATCCCAACTTTAAAAATAAACTTTTGACGTTACGAATTAAATTTTTTACTCATATTATTTAGCAATATTTTCAACTTTAACTTTAAAATATTGACTTCGTTGAATAGTATACTCATTGAAGTTGCTTATATCGCCATGCTCCGTCAAGGACATGTTATATTGAAAACATTTTTTTCTCAAATTACTATGCACAACTAATTTTAGCATGACGCTTTTTAAAAGATACTATTAAGTATTAACATAAGGATAACACTTATAAATTATAATAATCAAAACCCAAACCAATGTATAATGCCCATTACTGTATAATACTGGTATAATATAATATATTAGGTTTACAGTAAAGTGTTATAATATAATAAAAAATATTATATCAATACTAATCGTTATTATAATTCTTATGATTTCTTTTCAATTGTTTCGTTCACAAGCTAAAATGCATGTTAAGACTTACTTATAATAATAGTGACCGACGCCGACATAGAAACCTAAATAATAACATTTTATATGTGAGCGTATTAACACAGTGTCGTTATATTATAGTCGTATCCAGTCGAAACAGCTTTATTACAGTATTTAACTGCATTTGTATTTTGTCATAACTGGTTGTTTATAATATTATTATTATATTGATAGAATCTCACAAGCACCCTTTCACCCTTGTTTACGATATAGGATTCTACTGCATTTCTACTATATTATACACTGTTTATAGTGTTCATACTAAAATTACAAAAGTTTAGAACTGTACAAATAACAGTTTATGTTACAATAGAACTACCATTGGAATATTATAGTACAATGTCATT